ATTTGGCGACGCATTGCGCGGTGATATCTCGGCCTGGGCCTCCGTTACAACATTCACCTCCCTTTTTTTCAATAGAACAGCCAGTTTGTCTGGATCAAGTCCAATGAAAATTAAATACTGCGTTAGGGGAAGCAGCGGGGAGTCTTTGCCTACCATGCACTATACCAGCTAGAATATCATAGAAATGACAGGTAACATAAACTTTAAGTTAAGGCGTATTCAACTAAGTCACTGACTCGATTCTTAGGAAGAGCCTACGTGAAGAGGACGATTTTGAGCTGGAACGCGGACGCCGGCTGACTGATCTCGACTACGCCGATCATATCGCTCTACTATCTTCAAACTTTGGCGATCTACAGTCTGTAGTGTCATGGGTGAATGAGATGGCTGCGTCGGTGGGCTTGAACATAAATACCGGGAAGACAAAATTATTCTCGAGATGCATCTCAGACCAGGAAACCTCTCCCCCTGAGGATTAATGGCCGTCAACTCGAAGAAGACAGCGTTAAATATATCGGGATGAGGCTGCTACCGAATGGACAGAGTAATGAAGACATGGTCTCTCAAATCGATGCTGCTCGTCGGGTTTTCTCAACCCTCTGACGCGATATTTCTATTACCACGAAGGTTCACGTGTACCGTGCATCCATCCGGTCAGTCCTCCCCTATGGGTGTGAATACTGGGCTTTGAGCGTAGAAGACGAGCGAAGATTGGAAGTATTTGAACACCGCTCTCTGAGGACCATCCTTCGAGTGAAGTATACGGACTTCGTCTCAAATGAGACAGTCAGCACTCGCTGTGGCAGTATTGAGAGGATAATTCAGGTCATCCAAGGTAACTAAGGTGCTTTGGGCACGTTCTCCATCGTCCGCCTCACGAGCTTTGCTGCGCTGCCCCCGATCAGGTGCCACAGCCTACCTGGAGGCGCCCAAGAGGTGGACAACTCAAGACTAGGCTCGACATCGTTCGTCAAGATGTGGAAGCGGTTCTTGGACCTTCGATTTTCGGTCTGCGTCGCTAGAGAAGAGAATTTGTGGAGCCTTCCAGGTCTGCTGCCACGGGTAGTCACGCGTGGACACGTACCGTCCGTGATATCATTGAGGCCATCTAGATCAGGCCTTATCACGGCCGTGACAAGTACAAGTAAATATTACAACCTGACTCGTGCCTCGAGGAAGGGTCAGGTTATGCCGCCAGCTAGAAGCCTGTCAAGACTGATCTTTTAGCAACTTGTGTTATAGTCAAGCGCATTAGATTTACCATGATAAGGGAAACAGTGTTTTGTCAGGATAAATGATTTCAGAGAATCAGTTTCTTTCCCTCTCCTATTAGCTGGTCGATTTGGATTGCAGAAGGTGAAGCTACTAACGCGGCGTGACCTTTCACCCCAGGCGTGCGAAACACATGTACGACAGTAGCTAGTAACTAACACAGACTCAGCGCAGTCCAACAAAAGCACGACGTAGGTCAATTTTTACCGCACTTTGGTCCAGCACACGCGTTAGTGGAACGTATGATCTGGCAAGCCATATCTTAACAACATCCAATGTGAGAGCGAACAGGATGGCTTAGCAATAACTTAGTCACATCATACCAAAGCCGGAAACCGTCTCCAGGAGGGCCATCAAGTTTTATCGTACGAGTAGGTCAGTACGTGATTAAATTAGTCAAATAAAATAGCACAGAAGTGGTGTTGCGAAGAAATTTGTGTAGTTATATTTCTACTCAACGGCTCTCAATAAATTATGAAGTTCGCCTAATCCTAGCGTCCGGTAAAAACGGGAGTGGTTCACTCTGAAATGCAGAGTATATCTTTGGCTTGCGGTAATGTGCAACAGATTTACAAAATTGGTGATTAGGATACGAATACAGGGGCAGAGGACCCCTTAATCGAGATACAACATTATGAAACCGCTCTAAATATATAAGGTGTATCTTTATTGACTCAAAAAATCGCACCGCAACTTCAAAGACCAGGGGTTGAGACCGTGAACAGAATCACTATGAATAGTTCTTTGACATATGTTAAGCCACTTAATAGAGGTTCCTGTCAATAAGCGCCCTCTACGTAGCAAATAAACCACTAGCATTTATACAGACAGAATTACAAAAACGCGCGCCCGAGAAATGAAATTAGGTGACTTTCTAGGTTTATTTTTTACAAAGCAGAAACTTAGAAACTAACAGATTCGGTGCGTAAGATAAAAAAATAATTTTAAGTATGCTGGGGCACCTGGGATGGTGATAAGCCAAATGTAAGAATGGGTGATGATAAACCACCGACCTAAAGGCAGCTCATACCTACTTAAGGTAATAAAAGTTATCTGGATCATAAGAAGTTAAACATTATTGTGTTGCAAACCTGGGGCTTTACCTCCACAGGTTCCCGGGCTCTATTCTCCACAAAGTATATAGGAGGCGAATCCGCAAGCTTGCCCGGGCAAGTTCTTGAAACTATTTCTGACGTTGGCGAATGTGTCATGGTCTCAGCCAACATAAGTGGAAAATTAGAAAAATTAAGAGATCATAAAACGTCGGAACAGTGATTTAGTACTAGAAAACGGGTTTCTCAACCATCTGAGTAGAAAACATATCCAAAAGCTTACAATTGACCCGCAGACAGCTATTGGCGCCGAAAAACATTGTCAATTAAAACTGCTAACATACATGAATGATGAGAGCAGGACTTAATATCAACGGACGTACTCCAAATTACAAATTTTATATGCATGTTCAATTGGTCGTGTTTATGGCAGTTTCTTAATAAAAGTGTCGTAAATTTTGGGCAACAAAAAAATTGGAGACTTCAGAGCCGGTTGATACGAAGGGACATTAGCAGGATACCATGCATTGGCATGCGACAGAAAATGAATCTATCATGGTAAAGTACTAGGATATTTTCTGAAGATCCTGATCTCTCAGAGAGGAAGAAGAACAGTTCAAAAAATTCTGAGGAACACTGCTTGAT